TTTTTTATTTTTGCAGCTCATCCCTTCTGCTGCATGTTTGAGGTCTAAACCAGACAGGATGATCTCAAGATAACCTTCACAGTAAAACACATGAAGATACGGCCTGATTTTAAAGATTCTTACACTAAAGAGGTAAAAACAGATGTATATTGTCAGGCAGTAGCGACCTAAAGTTTGTTTCTTGAATCATTTAAATCAATTTAATCAAGAAACTCCAAAAAAAGGATTCCTTGAATTTCTTGATTAACACTTATAAACTCTGCAGCTATTATTATCCCAAAGGATCTGTCTGGGTTTATGAAAATTTAACCACTGGATAAACATCTACAACTGATCCAATCCAAGATGGCCCCTATTTTGGGAATTTTATTTGAAATTAAATCTTGACAATGTTCAGCTGCCACTGCAAGTCAAATCTGTGAAACTCAGTTATCAACCTTTCTTGTTATAACTCCGATATAAAATACTCACATGGGAATAAATATGAAATTTCTTTGGTTTCATATTATTTATTTGCTACACACTAAAAACTGCTGGGTTATTTTGACAACTCATTTGTTGGGTTAAATCTGGTGGATCATAGGTTGAGTTGGTTTGACCCACAAAGGTAAGATCGTAAAAACAACCTGTAAGAATATCTTTAACCAGGCTAGCTTTGTTAATAACTTTAATTTGCACTAAGGAGCGAGTTTGGTTTAAAACAACATTAGTTGGTGCTAGCTAACTGATGCTAATAGCGATTAGCACCCGCTAGCTCGCACCAACCCAAGTTGTAACTACCTAATGACTCTGATTTTGTGTTTATTACAACAAATATGTCATTTTAACATAAATTATTGTCAGAAAACTGAACTTATGTTGGGTCTAACTGATAACCTGCCGAGTTAGAAAAAAACAAAAAAGTTAAAGTTCTAGAATTGCGCCGCTCAAGGTGGCTGCATGTTGGAGCGGCTCTGTTACTTTCATTCTGAGATTTTGCTTTTGGAAACTTTAATTCCTCTTTTTCTGGATGTAAATCACATTTTTTTTTTTGGATGATTGTTTCCTCTGGTATCGGATGCTGTGCAGCTGGAAGGATTTTTACTGAAACTTTTTTAGTTTTGGACATTTGTTATGATGCGTAACCATGGCAACAAGGCAGTTTCTACAACCAACATCAGCTGATTAATACCTCAAAAGCTCAAGTAATATCTCAACTACAGCCCTAAATTTCAAACGAGTTGAAAAGGATGTTCTGTGGACGCATTTTCATCTACCTGCCAGCTGTGCTCGAGTGCCTGACCACTGAGATCCTGGAACTAGCAGGAAACACGGCTCATGACAGCAGAAGGACAGGATCGTCCATCAGCACCTACAGTTGGCTGTCCGCAGCGATGAGGAGCTCAACAAGCTGCTGGGAGGAGTGGCCATCGCCCTGGGAGGATTTCTGCCCAACATTCAGGTGATCCTGAAGCCCAGGAGGCCAACCAAGTGCAAGTAAACGGATCAACATCTGTGGCCAGTTTTTTTAGATCTGCTATAAGACAGACCATCACAAGAGATCCTTCCCGCCTACAACCATCAACATCTAGAACAACTCTTTTATGAAACAAGGAAAATGAGCTACAACAACATTTAATTTCCCTCTGGGATTAATAAAGTATTTTTGAATTGAATTGAATTAAACCATACAGACTCAGTTAGGTCCAAATCTGACCCAACGCTGGGCTACAAACCAGGTCGCTTTTAACTGTTTATTAAAGCTTAATTAATTTACACTTTAACCTTCTGTGTCTACTTAAAATGCAGCTCTGTAAATGAAAAGGGTTTTATTTTTGTAAGCTTCCGTTGCCTTTGACGTGTAGGGTTTCAAAAAAATGTTGGTACTTTTTTTTTTTAAAGAAATGCTACAAATGCAACAAAGTAGCAAAGCAGAGACAATAACAATGGTTTTATTGTATTCCAGCTTGTGCAGAAATGAATTTCTGAGTATATTGCACGTCAGGGCTTCCCAGTGGAAACCAGTTATATTTCTAAATTTAGGCTGTGGGTTAACAATCGGTAAGACAAGCATGCACGCTCATTAGAGGAAGGAGGAGGTCGGACTGGCTGTAATTAAGAACTAATAACGGTCTACGTGTGACCCCATAATGCACATCTGGACGCCTGCAGCTGTGGGAGGCTTTTTGTCAAACACACATGATTATCCGGCTCCGAATG